TTGTCATAGCGACGCTACAGCGCGGAGCGGGCTACGACTAAGTGAGGATATAGCCAGGTCCGTATTATATATCTATATAAGCTGTGTGTGTGTGTGTGGCGGTATATAGTATAGTATAATATATATTTTTTTTTTTTTTTGAACAGGGTCTTGGCTGGGCCCCAGCTGAAGTACCGAGTGGGGGTGATCATGGCTGCACTGCCGAGAGACCCGTGTTTCAAAAGGAAATAAAAAAAACAAAATCATACTCTCATTACGCTGAGGCGTTACTTGCCTATTAGGCTCTCATGTTATGTAGGTATCATACCACACACACACACACTATATAGTTGAAAATGTGCCTTGTGTCCCTAATATATAGGTCGTAGATTATGGTCCTTAGCGCATGCGTATACCTATCGTTAGTGCTCCCGTGAGTCTACTTACAACTTCATCTGTGAAAAGTCCGATAGGGTACAGAATGTGTTAAGAGTATGCTGTCGACGCATATCGTAACATCCAAAGCGGCTTATAGAACCCGTCAGCATAAGAAAGCCTGTGTATGGCTCTATCTCTTTGTATGCAGATGGAGAAGGCCGTCTCAGATATGCTAATGTGCATGTACATGCAGCAGTTGGACGCGCAGAGAGAGTATGCCAATTAAACATCATCTCAGATATATATACACGTGGAACTTGACGCTCAATCTGAGCTTAACCTTGAAGACAGGCCTGCAGAGATGTGCCAGCTGTATTGTTTCGCCATTAGCGACCTTGTGGTCGCAGCTTCAATACCTACCTGCACATATAAGTTCTGAGCGTCGCACGCTTGCATTATATCTCCCACTAAATTCTGGTTCTTCTCCCAATTTTTGTATTTCATTTAATGCTAGTTGGTTTCTTGGCTGCATTGTTCTGGCATTCGCGCGAGACCAAATTCGTTGACTGCACCTCTGTTGCTCTCCTGTCTAGATCACGACTATTAAGTGCTTTATTAGCTATATATCTATATTTTGCAGCGAAACGTGTGCGAATTTCAAGATGCTATGCTGTTTCTACGTATTCGCATTGTTGCTGTTCCCGACATCTCGCGACATTGCCGCATTCCTGAATAGCAAGTCCAGACTACCCCCTTGCTCAGTTTCACTGTCCGAGGCTCGCGCGCTCGCGCGCCTCTCCAACCGGCTCGTTATAGATAAAGCTAACTAGGAGCAACAATCATATCAAAAGCATCGCAGAAACAACCAAAATTTTAGCTTTACCTTCTGTTAAGGGGCAATCACCAAGCGCCTTGCTTTCAGTGATATTCTTCCGATACTATAATGCTACTGTAGACCTATAGCCTTCTTATAGAAGATCTTACAAAACAAAACTCAGAAACAGTATTTAATTCATTCATCGGAGCTCTTAGTAAATTAGTTATTAGTCTAAGTTTCCCATAAGCCAATTAAAGATTATCCAAAAATACAATCCAATTAATTAATACTTCCATGAAATCTCTCGACAACAGAGTTTCGAAAACAGCGCAAAAAGTTGACATGGAGCAATTTCTGTGAGGTCTCGTAATATTGCCTTGGATCCCACAAGAACTAATTCACATTCAAGTGACAGGGCGGATGTTATTATGTGCATGCTAGAATCGTGAGTATGACAATTAAATTTGAGAAATCCTAGAGGTACCTTCGTAAGTAAGTGGTTTCAGAATATTTTCTCGCGCCCTGTAACAACCACTCACTATACCACGCCGCAAGCTCAGAGGAATTGAAAGTATACGCACAAAAAGCTACAAAATGACGGCCTTTGAGTGCGAGAGCGTCCTAACAGACAAATTGTAAT